CAGTCAATGTTGACAATGTTGGAATTGACTTCTCTAGGAAGTTAATGTGTTTCCCCTGCGTGCCTTTATTGGTTTAGTTTAGACTGTTACAGCTTACTCACAATAAAGCCTCCTTCAGGAATCAAGCCAAAACTGGCCAGAGTTTGGGTTTTCTTTCTTTCAGATAATGCTGATTTAATTAAGTGATTTTGTAGAAATATATTCATATTGTCAAAATAATCTATATCCAAAAATGCTAATAGATTTGCTTGAAAAGTAATGAATTACTTTTTGTTTTGCATATAATTTGGAAAATTGAAGGCTATTGAAAGTATGTAAACAAGACTTTTTCAGTATTTCCAAAGTGAACATCTTTCCTTCTACATTCCAGTTTCTGAAACATTAAAAAAAAATTAATGTTTTTAGAAGCTGAAATGCCAGGATTTCCTGAAAAACAGATGACCTCCATTCCAACAAGCTCTGAATTCCCTTGAAATCAGCTCAGAAGCGGCAGCAGTTGCAGATGTGTCACCTCTATCACTCTCATTCTTTGCCATAAGTGTCAGCTCCCGACAATCCTACAACCCTAATCTGCTCTCCCTTGCTACTCGCATGGAATGGAAGCACACACACAAGGCATGAAATAGAATAGATCAGGATAGATGATTCATCTCCAGCCTATTACAATTCGCTAAATGTTCTGTTTATGAGGTATTCGAAAAGATTGTCACTCTTCGCCTCACCCCATGACCATTAAAATGGGCAAGTGATTAAAATGGATGGGTGATGGGCTGCAATTACACTTTGTCCTACTACTTTGCCTCAATTGTTTCCATGGCAGGAAATTTCTGGTGCAAAAAGCATTTGAGAGTGGAGCAAGAGGAAACGTTTTTATCATCTATTGTGATCTCCTATGGTAAAAAATATACCCAATACCTTTGAACCAAGGAAATTTATTTATTGGGATGAGAAGTGTAGAAACTAACATCTCAGGCGGCACATGCTGACTGACGATGTATTGTATCTGGTGGCTGCACAAGAGGAAAAAAAATTCTCAGGCTTGACCCCAAAAAGGCTATTAATATCTACAGAATAGCAGGAGGTGTTTAAAATTATATTCCTCTATGTTGCAGTTTGGGGCAGAAGCATCTGAATTTGCAGAAAGAGAGAGAGAGGGAATCGTTACAAGTCACATAAATGGACCAAGACATTCTGAAATAAGCACCCACCATTTCAAGCAGAGGAACCAGCACTGTGGGTAGTTCCATGTGCTGTTTAAGAAGAGCCAGGAGACGAGGAAAGGCAGCCAGCAAAGGAGGAGAGGGAAATCTACTCTTCCCAGGACAACTCAATGAATGACAAGGAGAGTACTGCCTTTAATTTCAAGGACTTGGTTCCATACAACGTTTGGTTAACTTACATATTATAAATTAAAAATTAAACCAGGAATAACTCTGTTCAAAAATACGTAGAAGCTCTGTTCTTTCCTATTCATTTTCATGCATGGCAAAATCCAAACCTGACTAAGTCCTCTTAAAAAGTGCTTTTAATTTCCTAAACTTCTAAGACTTTCCCTGCAGGGCAAAATACAGCTTTGACTTCCTAGTGTCCACCTGAAATCATTCTCTGCCCTTTGAGACATCATTAGTACATCATAAGCATGGCACTACAAAGCCTCCAGAGCAAGAAATGAAATGCCAAGTACACTTGATTAGAAAACCTCAGCATCTACTGGGGAGAAAACACAGTAGAGTAATTTGGAAAGCAAAGGCCACATCACGTCCTGTGGGTCCACGCTTGCAGACAATTTCTATTCTTAGCTCTTTGCCTTCACAGAAGCTTTCAATGAAGCTGGGAAAAGGAAAGGCGGCCACGTGTGGGACAAACCATACAACTAGAACCTCCAGACCTGTCCACCAGCCTGCCCCACACCGGGTAGTGGGAGAGAGAGAAGTGGGGCAGAAACGAGAGGGACCCGGGGTCTGAGGGGGCACCCCCTCCCCAGGGCGAAAGCCTCGCACCGGGCACGGCGGCGGGCAGGCTGCTGCAGCCCACCCGGGGGGTCTCTGCTCACTCCTGCAGCAGGCAGCGAGCGCTGCCAGCCCAGACCCCGCACCATCGCTGGCTGCCTGACGGTCCCCGGCAGCCACTCAGACACGAAATGAGGCCACCAGCTCTCCCTTGAGATTTTTTCATGGAAGCTGAACTACACTGGCACACGTTTCTGAAGGACAGCCAAGCTCTTCCTACCAAGCTATAACTGGTTATTTTCTTGTTCAGGAAAAGTATGGATTTGGTACTAGTAACAACCACCCGACTAACTGCCTGTATCATTACAGAAATATGCACCTATCTGCTCTGGTATGTGTGTTTGATTTCTACATCTTAATGTTATTACAAAATTAATACTGAAGTTTTTAACTCCAAGCATTATACTTTCTTAGCCTGTGTATTTTGTGAAGAATGACTACATCTCATCAAATGAAAATTAATGCACATTTTGACAGGATAAAGATATTATGACTCAACATTTGCAAACATTACCTGATGCATAACTTTTGTATGGCTTAACATGTTATTAACAGTACTTTAAACCTTATGTTCCTTTTTAATTTAATGCTTATGTCTGAAAATAGCCCCTTTCAAATTCAATTGCAGTAATGTCTTTAAAAGCAAACTTTAAACTTAATTTGCTGCACATACAATTATCCAAATAAGTTGCATAGTTTAAACAAGTTCAGTTGTGCTTTGTAGCAGAACTCACAGTAATTACTCATCTCTTAAAAATACGATTTGCAGATGTGAAGTTGACGATACATTTAAGCATTTTTGTGACGTCTAGACATCAACAATATGAGTTTTTGTCACTCTTCCACTGACTTCTGCTGTTCATAATACCTCACCTTTACATTGATATTAGATCAGAGCATGGACATTTAATGGACACATCTGAAATAATTACAAACACAATTTTTAAAACTCCATTGTCGGGAGGGGAGAAATAAGAACTTGGGTTGGTTTGAGGTATCCAGCCCTCAGGAACAAACTATGTTTGTTTGCATTAAGCTTTGTTGGTTTTATCATGTGTTACATTTAGATTAAAAATAGAAGGCACAGGTGTTTTACAAGGCGCCGTAATTAAGTCAACCAACAAAACTAAATATTACATTACCAAGCCAGGGGTCTATATCTCAGCAGTGACTTCTTCCAACGCATTTTCATTTGAGGAATTTATTGCTTCTGAAAAAGGGCCGGGGTATGTCTGTGCTACGCAGTTCATTCCTTGTGCCACACTGACGTCTCCTCGAGAACTGAAGGTAGGGCAGGATCTAGTCCGTGCATAGTTTTGTTGGGGTCCAGCGTGGCCAACCATCTCACTCACAGTGTTCACCGGTGAAGCCCTCCATCTCCGTCTCTGCAGTTGCTCTTCTTTACACTTAATGGAATACCAGGCCAGGAAAATAAAAAAGAATCCCACAAACTTGAGAGCAGCTGCCAACCCAAAGTAGACAAAACGAAACGAGGTGACATCGTATTCCCAACAAGATCCTTGTACGCCGCAATCCTGTTGCCAAAGCATGCACGTGGTGTCAATAACAGCCCCAAAATAAATTGGAGTGGGAATGTACGCTGCAAGAAAAACAGCAACAGAAATAATATGTGTTAGCACATTGTGGAAAACTTCTAAAGAAACTATATGCCTTAGCCTAACAGTGCAGGTCGAGAAGTTTTGAGATTTCTACACCGCTGTTTTCACATGAAATGTACAACATGGTCAGTCGGTCTTCCCACCAACACTACTTATCCCACACACAAAAAGTATTACAAATGGGAAAGAATTCAAGCAAAGAAAGACGACAACGCAGCAGCACCTTAGAAGAGATAATGCTTCAATCTGCTGGCCCCAGACAGCTCTTCGTGAACTACGTGTCCCCCAAAAGAAAATCCAATGTTGGTCTCAGGAAATAAAATACAGGAGAGGAACAAAATACGCTATCTCCAGAGTATTGCTTCCTGAACATCCATTCCCCATGAGCGGGGAAAGGGCGGGGGTTGCTGCATTAGATTAAGGAGAAAAAGCACCAAGGACCACAAGACGTTTCTCTTACTGAAGATGCATGGAAGCGATGGGACCACTAAAATGTTAAATTTTCTTTTGAAGACTTCTTCCTCAGAAACAGACTTTAACTCCTAAGGCTGCCAAAAATGCAGCCAGTCCATCGAATGATCCTTCTTTTCCTGGAAGTAAGACACCCTTAGGACAAGTCAGAAACTTCCTTTGTCAAAGAAAACTTAGTTATTGGCCAGATGCAGCTACATGGGCTTCTCCTCTTGTTCTCACTTAGAATAGTCCTTGCTTGTTCCATTCACATGTTTTGGGTTGCTGAATACCTGGAGTGCTCTTTATAGTCAGGATTTTGGAAATTCAAGAGCTTGAAAAAAACTACTTTGTGGAATAAAGACTTAACATGCACCCTTTTTGCTTTGAAACATTTGATATGAGACGTTAAGTAACAATTGCTTCTTATTTTTAAAAAGCAAAGAGCTATCGCTGAAAGCAATAAAAATCTGCTTCTAAAAAAGAAAAAATCCTTGGAAAATAATATTTATTAACTGTCTTAATTTTTAAGTAGAATTTGAAACTGTAAAAATGTCTCTTTCTGGGACAAAAATGTTACTCTAGAAAGTCAGTAACCAAAAAAAAAAAAAAAGAAAATTAAATACATTATCACATTATCAGCTACAGTGTTTTCAGAAGCTATTAATTTTAGGTTCCTAATACAATTAGTCAGGCAATTAGCTGCAGATTTATAGAATTTTAGTACTTTTATGGTACATTTAAGCCGAACATGGAAAGCCTTTTGGAAACACTGTGGTTTATGGGAATGCTATGCTGAGTAACTGTAAGACTTACCAAGAGTACGTAATAACACAAACTGCATTCCTAGTGCAAAGGGTCGTTCTCCATCTTCCACAGACCTAGCAGGCGAGAAGAAAACTCCTTTGAAGAAACAGTCATAACAGATAATCATTGTGGTATGTTCTGGCTTTACCTCCTGGCTATTCTGAGCTATAATAAATCTTTGTCTAAATTTCTTCCATTTAGCTTCTAATATTGTTAAGTCTTATGGCTAGGAAAAAATATAGCTGGTTCCTCCTGTCCCTGTGTAATCAAAATCTCAGTCCTGCCTTTGAACTTTTCTTTACCTATGTAAGGCCTGAAGAATTTGATTCAAACCCATTAAGGAAATTAGAGAATCCACTCAAAATGTTCATGGCTTCTCATGATAGTTTCCTGTCATTTTGTATCGAATCACACAATGGTTTGGGTTGGAAGGGACCTCAAAGATCATCTAGTTCCAAGCCCCCTGCCATTGGCAGGGACACCCTCCACTAGACCACGTTGCACAAAGCCCCATCCAACCTGGCCTTGAACACTTGAACACTTGTGGGGTCATCCACAACCTCTCTGGGCAACCTGTTCCACTGCCTCAATACCCTCATTGTAAAAAATTTCTTCCTTACATCTAATCTAAATCTACTCTCCTTCAGCTTAAAGCCATTTCCCCTTGTCCTATCACTACATGCCCTTGTAAACAGTCCCTCTCCAGCTTTCCTGTAGGCTCCTTCAGGTACTGGAAGGCTGCACTTAGATCTCCCTGGAGCCTTCCCTTCTCCAGGCTGAACAATCCCAACTTTCTCAGCCTGTCCTCATAGGAGAGGTGCTCCAGCCCTCTGATCATCTCCATGGCCCTCCTCTGGACTTGCTACAACAGGTCCATGTTCTTCTTATGTTGGGCCCCCCAGAGCTGGATGCAGTACTCCAGGTGAGGTCTCATGGGAGCAGAGTATAGGGGCAGAATCTCCTCCCTTGACCTGCCGGTCACACTTCTTTTGATGCAGCCCAGGATACAGTTGGCTGTGCACATGTGCACACAGTAGTTGAGCTAAGGCTGCATGAGCAACTGGAAGTCTGACTGACATGCCTACTCCCAAGCACTTGGCTTCACAGTCCTAACAGTGATCCTTGTACCCATTTTGTAAATTTTTTCACAAGTAAACTGGAAGACAAATTCCACCACATGTGACACATGGCACAGTCCTCCATGTGTCAGCAGCAGGCTCCTGCATACACCTCAGCCACCTGAGCTGAGAAAATGACAGCAAGAGAGTGCTTGACCTTGCTGGGGATGAGACACAGATGCCTGCCACAGGGTTTCAGAGCTGCACGCAGAGCTGAGCCTACAAAGACCACAGTCAAGTCCTGACCTGCCTCGTATTTTCTAAGGCTCCTTTTCAAAGGTTTGCCATTATTATTTTCATAGGGGACTAATTATGAGCAGTGGTAGAACATCAGTAGTCTCACAGCATCAGTGAAGATATAAAGACACTACCAGGAGAAAATCCCACTTGGTTGGGAGGACCATTCTCACAGGGAGAAAAGGCCCGAGATTGGTTTAAAAAAGCTCAATTTGGAGAGAGATTTTACACAAAACCAGGTCAAAAGTGTCTCTATGTCAGCAATTAATGCGGCTCAAGAGGAGCAGATTTATACAGCTAAACAGTTTGTCCTGAGGACCTGATATCTACACCACAAGCATTTCAGGTTTTGTAGGGTTTTTACTTCAGACCAGCTCTAACCTGTTCCTGGGACTGAACACCCATTTACATCTGGATCATTTTGGGTGTGCTTCTGAAGAGCATCTCAAACCCTGGAACAGGTTTCCTAGAGAGACGGTCAATGCCCCAAGGCTGTCAGTGTTTAAGTGGTATTTGGGCAATGCCCTTAACAACAGGCTTTATCTTTTAGTCAGCCCTGAAGTGGTCAGGCAGTTGGATTAGATGATCGTTGTAGGTCCCTTCCAACTGAACTATTCTAGTCTAGTTTAGTCATAGTCTAGTCTAGTCTAGTCTAGTCTATGCTATTTTTTCTATCTTCCAACTCATCTCCATCTGATAGGAACTCAGTTCTTGAACTCTGAGAGCTCTCCAGCTTTAGATTCCAAACCTAATCGACCTCTTTAAACCATTTTTGTCTTTCTGTTACCAGCAGAAACACCTACGGGTGTGCATTGTAAATCCTGGTAAATAACTGAGTTATCTCATTTTCCTCTAATTCTTCCTCCTCCTCTTTTAACAACAGCAACATATATTATACAAAGTTATTTTAGCAGTAGACCATATTCTGCTTTTTCAGCTCACTTTTCTTTAAAAATCAGACTGAAGTTCATTTACAGAGGTTGTATTTTAAATGGACAAAGATGTCATAGGGAATGATAAAGTTTATCAGACCAGATGGCAGAGATGGGAAAAGCCAATCCAAAAAACTGAACACTTTTTTTTTGAATGGAGAAATAAATTCCACTACCTTACCCTACAAAGACTACATTGTTCTCTAGCCATAAATGACCACGGTGACAACTACACGAATACAGTGTAGTGATTAAAAGTTCTAAATTCTTGTGAAGAAAATGGGCATGTGGCAGAAATGAACAATTTCAAGAAAGAGAAAAGGGTAATTTTAAAATGTCCTCTCATTTTTGAACTAGGCATTAGTCAAATATTAACTTTTTTCATTTGCATTTGAAAATCCAAACCATTGCTCTGAGAAGGCTGAAAATTCCTTCAGGAGTAATCATTTTCTTACATGATGCTTTTACTTGTTCCCTCTTTATATCGCCTGGAAATCGCTGGGCACTTCACATTTCCGAAAGTGCATTATCATGTAACATATTCTAAACACAAGCAAGTTTCACCCAATCCACATCAGTCATACTCTATTCACTTTTTAAGGATATAGAAGCTCAATGTTTGGCTGCATTGCTCCAGCCCCTTCTGACACAGACACTGGTGATAGCAGCCAAAATACTTAAAAAGCCATAACTAAGTTCTCACCTGAGTGTCACTATGATTGCTGACGGCTGCGCGCACGCTGTTATAAGGGTAACGATGAAGAGAAATATCAGGAACGGGATAAGAGTGTTGCAGGTTCGATCACACTTCCCAGAAACAGCGTAGCCGTTCTCATTCAGGTAGGTTTTGACAATAACCAGCCGGAGCTGACTGCGCTGGCCCACTGTCGGTGGAGTGATCACCTGGCGACTCTGAACACAGGCACATTCTGTGTAATTTCTTACCTGGGGAGAGCGAAAAAGAACATTTCCACATTAAATAGTTGTGCGAGGAAGACATTGAGCAGAGATATGGTATGACAGTCCCATGGTACTTCCAAATCAGGGATCTTTTGCCTCTGGCATCATTACCCCAAGTGCAAGTGAGATTACCACTCCCAGTATTTTTAAAGCTGGACAGGACTCTCCATGATGAGATTGCCTTTCCATTGCTTTATTTAGGCTGAGTTTAAAAAAAATTCTTGGAAAACTCTGCCAAAACAATTCAATCACTTCTGACAGGGAGGCTGGAGACAAAGACTGTTCCTACTGTATTACAAAACCTGTGAGGAAACAGTCCTTAAGCAGCACTGATCATGCCATATTCTGGAATATGGCAGTCTGTTGACTTTCATATTCAGGAGGTGTCTTCTGCCATCTCAGTGGAAGTCTACTCAGATTCGGCTAAAGAGCAACAAGCTGCCCTTCACGCTTGCAGCCGAGGACCTTCCAGCTGGATGTGGGTGTGGATGTGGATGGGATGTGGACAGGAACAAAACTAGAGAATAAGGGGAAAGCAGAGACTTAAACAGTGAGACTGGAGGACATGAGGGATTCCTGAATGGACAAAGAGGCTGAAATTAGGATGAAGAGACTGAATAAAGAAGGGGCATTTCATAGGCAAAGGGGACCGTGGTCTGAGCAAGGTGAGGAAGAGCTAGATCTGAAATAGCCTCCTGTCACATTTATTCTACTATTGTTTTCAACTAATCTAATGGCAGAGGGGTGTGCAGCAGATCAGAATACACTGGCTCTGGAGAAGAGACAGGTCAGGATGCATGTGATGTTGCAGGAAGGAGTTTTGGGTTTCAATGTTTGCATTCATAAAACCTCGGACCACACATGCAAGAAGCAACATTACAAGACCATCTTAAGGTTGCAATTTAAGCAGTTGGACATCGGGAAATATCCAAATTATGGCTGTTTGTCAACTTTAATGTATACCTTTGCATGTGTTCATGTTATGACACAGCCTCACTTTTTTTTCCCATGGGACTTAGCTGAACATCTTAATAATATATTCATTTATCCAGTATTTTACCTCCCATTTTCAAAATGTGGCTCCAGGTATTTTTTTCCTCACACTAAACATATTCCACTACAAAGACAGAATGACTCATGTTTCATATGGATTTTTCTATCACACTCATCATTATAGCTGAACTCTTTCAAAAAGGAGTAATTTATCTTCAAAACAGTTACAAGATGAAGCACTGATGTTGTTCTCTATTTTGTAGCTAAGTAACTGAAAGAGATCAAAAGTCTCATAAATGTGGGTGGCTAATTTGAGACAATCGGGATCCTTTTTTTCAGAACATTTGCGATTATATACAACTTAATATATTCTAAATGTAATTTTTCATGCCTTCAAATACAGATTTAGGCACTCAGTGCTACTACAAATGGCACTTCTGGTTATTGCTCATGTCCATCATCCAGAATATGAAGAATATGAGACTAATGACCAACTGGGAGTTTTCAATGACTTGCCCATCATTGCTTAGGAACAGAGGCAAGGACAGAATCCAGTTTCCCAAGGCAGCACCCCACTCTCTAATATCACACGAGCATCTGCTTCCTTCCTACGGTCCCTCACCTTATCTCCTTATTGCTTCCAAATGCCAAATAGGCATCCTACAGAAAATAATTCTTTTTACTAAACAATCTTGGTTCATCACCAGAGAAACCAAGTCTGTGTCCTAAATGAGACAGATATGACATAACAGAAATTCTAGAGTATAGGAATATACATATAAAACAGGTATGAACTGTACACTGGCATCCTTTTCTCCTATTTCCAATTTTTAAATGGTTAATTTTGTGAACACTCTATGTTATAAACTTAAATCTGAATGTTATAGGTTAGCAATATTTTGTGTGTTATACAGTGGTACAAGCTTTTGTTGTTTTTAAAAGTAGCCTACATACATAAAGCATTATTTAATGAAGAAATGCATTTTCCCACCAATGTCAGCCCTATTCTATTGACCATTAGCTACCAAGTTAAAACTTAAGGCCATGAAGGATCTTTTCTTAAATTCTAAGAGGAAATAGTATGTTTCAAAATCTGTAGTGAAGAGTACATATTCCCGAAGTACCTGCCAACTAAACGAATCGATAGTGCCAGTTTGATATCAGGTGAAAAGTAGCAAAGATCAAACCTATGTCTCAGTCCAGCAAAGCACAAGTAAGATTTATATAGACACTGAAAGTTAACCGCAGGCTCACATCACAGGCTTTTCCAATTGGGCCAAAGCAATTTTCAACTAAAAACCAGCAAGATGAAACTCTAAAAATAAAAACAATAAAGGAAACTAATGTGTTCTCAGTGGCATCTATGTATGAAACTACATTTTCAGACCATTATCCAGTCAACCTAAAAAAGCACAGTGCTGGACTTAACGTCCTCCTGCTTCACAGGCTGGCTCAGGACTGCAAATCAGGAGACTGATACATTATAAATAAGCTTTCTGGAAAGCACAATCAAGTCCTGAGAAAAATCAATGTTTATATTACTTCCTGTCTTTCTTAATTATCCTTTTTTAAAAAGACAGTTCTGTCACAGAAGAATTTAAGAGTTTGTTTTCTGTACAAAATGAGCACGACCATAATGCTCTGTCGATATTTAGGGCAGATTTTTCTTTTCAACTGTTTTCTTGTGCCCAGTCCTGGAAACTACCAAATTTCCACGGCAGGATTTTACCAACAGGATGCCCTTCCCCAGTCCAGCATAACTGGAAGGTCAGGCTGTAACAGGCAATGTATTTCCAAGAAAGAAAGTGGATTATTAACATCCTTTAAGTTCTGGTTACTTGAGTTTAATGACAGTCACATCACTTAGCCTGGAAGAGGTTCGGAGAAGGGCTATGACAATGGCCAAACTGTTTTACAAGAGCAGAATAAACCGTCAGTCTTTATCTAGCCATGCAAACAAAAGACCTATCAATACAAGCAGGTGCAACAGTTACTTATGCAAAATGATGAGGCTGATATGAACACCAAAGGCTTTAAATAGGCCATAACTAAATTGAAACAGGAGTTTGAAACACTTCCAACTACCTGAAGAGTTAAGTTCTTCCTTCCATTTGAAAAGGGAGAAGAAAAAAAAATACTGTTCTTAAGAGTAACATTGATGAGCTTGTGGAAAGACAGTATGATGTGGCTGCCCATGTTAGCAGAAAGCTGAATTAGATGACACTGACTCCAGGTCACCTCTCCGAGCCATGCAGGAGCAGCAGACAGGCAGGCCACTGCCATCGGGGACTTCAGACTCTGTACTGGAAACACCAGCCCTCTCCACCCCATGGTACTTCGCGCTCACTCAGTTGGAGGATTCACTTGGTACAAATGAGGTTGTGCCTCAAATTTGTACGTAACTGAAAGGAAGGGGGGTGGAACTGTGCACCATCAGCCTCTCAAAATATGGAAAGACTCATGCACGAGTCACCACGAGCACGAGCTTAAGAGGGGGGATGCTTGCACTAGAAACAGAGCAGCCCTTGATCTGCATCAGTCCTGAGGGGCTACTCGTGGGTTGTACGTGGGTGGGTGGGTGAAGCACTTACCCCTGTGCTATGGTTTCCACCATTGATGCAGCCAGCTAGGCAAGGATTAAAATATGTTATTCCATCTGATCCACAGACAGGCTCGTACTCATGAATCTTACATCCACAGTTAACATTACAGCTCCCAGTCAGATTCCTGTGGGCCATGGCAAGAGTGGGACTGAAGAAAGGAAAAAGAACATGCTAGTAGAGCAAGTACAGATATCCTGCTGTTCAGAGGGAGAAAACATCCTACTCATTAACTCTGGAACTGAGAGTTGATTATCAGAGAAAGACTGCATTAACTCTAGGTTATGCACATGATTTAAACAATATAGAACACCCAAGGCATCCCTGTCATCAACTAAAAACGCAATACAAAAATAATACCAAAGTTTAAAACTTGTATCTTATTTGTCCAGGTTATAGTTGTATTTTTCCCATTTTTTCTTCCTTTAAGAGTTAAGACACCACTATTTTATGTCTAGTCTAAGCTGCGGCAATTTGTTGTTGATTACTAGTGAAAGGCTCAGTGATGAGATGTAAGCATTATGTGAACGAATAGGCATCTCTTCCCACATACCAACAGCTGCTCAGAATGCTTGTATTATTTATATGTATATGTGAAATCTACAGGAATCTCTTTGGATCTGGAGGATTGCTGTGCTGGTGCTAAATGTCCGTAAAAGAACCACTGCTCCACTTCCCTGGACCATTCCCCAAAGCCCAACTTTCTAGTTCCTCCACAGAAGGGTTTGGTGGTATGCTCAGAAGGAACTAAAGGGAATTTCAAAGCTGGACAGACACACACCAAAAAGCAGGCTCTTCACTATCGATCACTGCTGCTCCAAACAGGTGGTTGAACAGATCTCAGCTGCCACAGCAGGGAACTGCAGCAACTCTTCAGTGGCAAGCGCCAGGCCAGCCTGAGCACGTCCTCACCACGGGATGAATGCGCGAGGGGACCCCAACCATGGCAGCAGCTCATGGCACTCATCTGAGCTCAGTGGCTCATGTAGCACTGCACCGAGGCAGATACAGGTCTCTCCCGATGCACTCTCTCCTCCAGCTAACACCTCTGTACGGCACATCTGGGCCCCGTCTGGAGAGAGCAGGTCGTTCCGAAGTGCCCCAAATGGCACTGCCCTGGGTGCTGGGAGCCCCAAAGCAAGACAAACTCCTAAGACAGAACCAATACCTGACATCCTGACCTGAAAGGGGCAGCTGGTATGAACCACTGAGTGCCAGTGGGCAACACATGGCTGGAAATGAGATTTTATAAATATACCATTCCCCTGTGGCTCTGCTTTACCATATCAGCTGTACCATTGCAGATTAATCCAGAAGTGACAAAAGCCTTAGTAACAGCAGAGTCCGTATCTGTAAGATCACAGACTCTTCATCAGAAGATGATGGGGAAAAAAAAACCCTCACTGATCAAATGGTGCTTTTTGTTACAAGCAGAAAGAAATCAACTCTGGTTACAACTGACTGCCAGCGGTCACCATCACTGGTTTTGACTCAGGTTGACTAAGTCACACAGTCACCAAATTAACCAGCTCCTGTCTTACATACCATATCACTTCAGCCCTGCACAAAACAACTCTCAGGCCACTTAAAAATGCCCGCTCATTGTTCAGATGAGTTTTATAGCACTGTTTTTTTGCCTTGGCTGGCTAAAGACTAATTGAAAACTTATTTTTGTATGTGTATATTTTCTGTGAAAACCTTAGAAACATGAAAATGGCTGTTGAGATCACAGTTGTCTCTTCACCAGTATCCTGTCTCTAACAGTAGCCATAAGAAGATGACTAGGGAAGAGCAAGAACACGGCAAATAACTTCCCCAAAAAAGTATTCTCTTGGCCTCTAATTTAGAGTCTCAGCTCAGAATATTTTCTGAGGCTAATGTGGTTTTTTAGTTAATAACCCCCATTTTTTTCCCTGCATTTCTCCCACTGAGATTAAATTTTTGCATCTACACTATCCCACAGCAAGGATTTTTTGATGGTCCACAGCCTGTTAAATGAGCTGTTGTTTGGTTTCAATCTGGCTCTTACCAGATTTATCTGACAGTACCCACTTCTACTACTTTGCTTGTAAATTCTGAACACATGAAGACTCCTGAAAAAATAAACTTAAGCGGTTCCTATGGTCAATATGAAAGTATTTGCAAGCTCTAGTGAAATCTTGTAGTTGCAATTAAATAAACCAGATCTAATATTAACTAATCTAATCTAATCTCGTTTAATCAAATCACATCTAGTATTACCTGAAGGCATTATGCCGGGAGGTACCTGAAGGTATAGACATAATGCATTACCTTCTGTCTATGCTATTACTGAACATGCTAGCTCAGGTACCAAAAAGAAACTAACTGTTCCGCTTAGATATATATGCAGACACACCTTGAAATGTAAGTTATGTTCTGCTCTCCTTATGCAGCCAAATTGTAACAAGCATGAACTTTTAAACAGCCTGTATTATATTTATAGCTATTTTCACTACACTTACCATGCTCTCTGTCTTGTTTCAGGTTGCTAAATTAATTTCATAAGTGCGATTGCTGGTTCAATTTTGTGCATCTCATTTGGAATTTCATCTGGGTTTAAAATACTGCTAGCAACGTGAACACATTAAGCCAATGGAAAAATTACCTGAATGACCTTATTCATAGCAATCTATTTCCAAGTGATAGGGCTGGCTGACTCTAGGGACCTTAGCACTTATTTCCTAAATACCTCTCTGTCTAAAGAAATCAGGATTCCTGAATTCTGCACCCGCACTCCCTCTTCACTGCATAAGGCGATACCAAGCCACTGAAAACCGAAAAGCAGCTGCTACTCATGTTTTCACCTGAAGCTCCTCCTGTTACTTAGGAAAACCCCCATTTTATTATGTTTCCAGGAACTGCAATCTATACTTTCCTGTGATGCTTAAATAGCTTTCTTTTTCTGAGGTTTACTCTTAAATATATGTCTCACATTCTGTTATAGCTGTACTCTAGGTTTGTAAATGCTATTTTGTGTCTCAAAGTATCCAAATGTTAGGCGCTGCAATATTCCATATTGCGATACACAAGTTTTTCTGAAGATACAGGGCCAGTTTCAAACCACATCCTTTATGGGTTGTAATATCTAAACTTTTTTAGTCCTTCCAGGTGCCCAAGTCAGAAAGGCAGGTTCTGTAAGGAATAAAAACAGTTGGCACTTCTAAGATCTCCAAAAATTCAGAACATTGAAGTGAGGGCCTGACCTCCCTCCAATGACATTTTGACAGGCATCCTGGCCAGGAAAGGTGAGACGGGAGCCAAGATGTTTTGACTGGCACCCTGGCCAGGAAAGGTGAGACGGGAGCCAAGAGTGATGGCAAGACCAGATCAGAATTTGGGTCCAGAGCCAGTGATCACAGTGATTAGTCCAGTGATCACACAGCAAGTCCAAGAGAAAGGAGGGACAGGCCCTCGCCTCCAGCTTTCTTCACAACAGCTCTTATCAGTGATAGAGCTGACCCTGGACTCAGCCAGCTGAACTGCTTAACTCAGGTGACCAAGCTCCTAGAAGCAGGGGGGACACACTCCGCACCCTGACACTGCATAGGAATACCAGTGCCCACTGTAGATGGTTCAGTGAGTTCCTATGCACAGAGCAAAAAGCTGCCCCCCTGCTGATAGCCTTCTCCAGAAACACTATACTTCATGGACTTAGATCTCTTCTGAAGTGGAAAAAGAAGTTCTCTCTTCTTCACCAGTTCTGCCGTTGCCTGAGGTGGGAACACGAGGGTTCCAGGTCCTCCTCAACCTGAAGGCGTTCAAATCTACATCTCCTTGATGGTGTATGTTCTTATCAGCAAGCTCCAGAAGGGCATCTTCCATCCTTCCTAAGCTGAACGTGATCCCAATCCTGCTCATATCTCCTCATCAATGACTCTTTACTGCTGTATCTATAAGCAAAACCTAAAGCAGGAACCAGGACCAAAGCCATTTCTTCCAAAGGAAATCGCTTTTCAGAAGGTTTTTAAGTTAGGTTCCTCTCTTGTTTACTCTTTTTTCTTCTGTATCTCTACTCATTCCTCATTTTTTCTCTTTTCTCTTCCCTTGCATCCACCATCCATTTGTGCAGTGGTTATGGTGCTCTTGGGGACATCAGGAGTTCAGGGTCAGATGCTCTCTGTCTAAATTGCTGGCTAGAGACCACCACACATAAGGTGAGCAACTCACCTCCTTTTGTAGCAACCAATTTCCTGACTTCCTAGCAAAACCACACTATTGGGCGGTTCTCTTCTCCACAGTAACTGTTAAACATAGTGGCCAGTGCTAATAAAGTGGGTACCAGTGAGAAACATGCATACATCATCCCCTGTGGATCTGGACACATTCCAAATGCTTCCTTCCTATCTTTGAGTCGCAGCAGCTTAAACACCTGCACTTACCTAGCTCCCTAAAACCACACAAATGTCTATGTTTGGACACTTGGAGAACTTTGGCCAAAATACAAGCAATAGCTTATTTAACTTCAGTAGTCCTTGAAAACAGGTGTCTCAGACTGAGAAGTCCAAAATATGCTTAATCTGGGTTTTGGAAATAATTCACATATTTAAACACATCCCAAAATCATTCTTCAGTCAATGCACTCCTCCACTTTCTCCACAGTGGTCACAATGGACAGAACTAAACTAGGACACCTAGTTTAGCTCAGTAGACTGGCCCATGCAGTCCATCATCTGCATGGTTTTGTGACTGTTCATAGCTGGAGTGCATGGTAGCGGAACAGTGAAGAAAGGCGGTGCTTTGAGAACACAGTTTTGGATAAATTCTTTTCTCATGGGTTTTATTACAGTGGTACCAGAACCCTTTGGTGTGCCATTAGCTTAGTTTGAAAGGTTACTTTGAATACTCCATGTGCCACCTTTCACCAGTGTTTCACAGACTACTGTCACTCACACTGTTCCTCCACAGAGGGGAACAGCTTCTGGATCCTCTCCCAAAAGGCTGGATCTGCCTAGCTGCATGACACAAGGCTGTCCCTCCTTCCTCTTCCTGGCTAATATTTTTAAACTAGCTGACATTTTTTCCACAAATGGAAGTGAAAAGTGTCCTCCATTGCATCATTTATCCAGTAGTCCACGGAGTAGATATGAAAACCCAGCTTCCAAAGAATACTTGGAAGAATAAGCAACCCAC